ACTTTAACAAACAACCGTTTATTAATAAAGTACGCATATTTACATATATGGCATTATTATCAAGTATAACCCTCATCTTGGTTGGTTTATATGTAACCTTCCCGAGTTGTAAGACCGAATCTCTAATAGAAATTTACGTTGCCTTACTATCCAAAGTGCTTTTCGATAGTCAAAACAGGTTTAACTGTCTACTTCTTAATATCGTACACAGTCGTACAGTTACTGAATCTTGTTCTGAACCATGTTGTATAAAAATGCTTCTTTGCTTAAATCATCATAATGTCAAAGAGTAAAAAATAAATATTGTAAGTAGTCTAACCAAACGCTGTTATAATGCTGTAGTTGAATGGATGTTGTAGTAAAAATTTTGCAAAACCAAATTTAAAGCAATCCACAACTTTTCGTATCTAATCAAAAGTTATTTGAAAAAGTAGTTTTCATCGTGAACTCGTACCATTGTTCAAACCACTTAAATCTATAAAGAATTAGACAACTATTGAGTTTTAGTTTACCACTCTTCAAAATCGAGGGTCTGTAGCAAAGTTACTTGCAAAATTCTTATAAAATTAATATAACATGAAACTTATCGCGTAATGTATGACAAGTCCTTTCCGAACAGTAACTTTTATAAATAGAATTATGAACAAATACGATAAGATACTCGTTAATGATAAGAGTTGATCCAAACTAATATATTATTGACTGATTGAACTAATGAATATCATTTCACCCGATAAGTACTGCAAGCGCAAAATTAAAACATTTTTTATCACAAGTATTTTCTAACTTATTGAGATTACTATTTATGGAATGGACTACATGCAAACATTAATTATTACAAAAAGTACAAACATAATTAGCTTGTAAAATATATATACATTCATAATGATTTTACAGTCGTAAACTATGCAACTTACCATGGAAAAGTACTCTTCCTTTTTGAAGTATAAGTATTAGTTATATAACCCAAAAGGAAAATAACCGTAGCCTTATACATGTATTTAATACATGAAATGAAGTTGATGTCTGTCACAAAACGGGTTCTTTCATTAATTTAACTTGAATTAGTTAACAAAAATTGGATAAATGGCTATATGCTTAATGAATTATACACACTGTAAAAAATAAACTATATAATATTTATGACCTGTAAATCCTGTGATGGTTTATAGGATAAATCAAAGCAAAAATACAATAAACACAAAGAATATGTTTTAAATTTTGGAAAGTGAATTTTTTCTAGGCCTGATAACTACATTTTGTCAGAGTGCTACACACTCAGCCCATTGACTCACCATAGCTTTTTATTCTTATTTATAATCATTAAACTTTTATGAAGCGCTGTCTTCGTTCATGATCAATTACACACTCGTCTGTTATGGCAGTCGACAGGTTATTACTTAAGCTGAAGTGTCTGGGATATCTTGTAATTGTGGTTGTGGTAAAATTGTTTCCAATTAGTTCAAATGATTTCACGGTAGTTGTATGGCATGTCATTCAGAACTTAAATAAAGAAAATAGAATAACCCTCTGGGTAAATGGAATACTTTTTCATAAACGTTTTTCCCGTTAGAATATTAAGAACGTTTTCAGCTTATCGTTGAGAAAAAATATATACCGAAGTAATAAAATGAATCGACTACTTCACTTGAATTTGTAGCCACATCAACACTGGTAGGTCGATGTCCAACAGAATCTCGGCACGAATGAAGAAAACTCATCTCTCTTTTTACTGCCTATAAAAAGACAAGAATGCTGCTGAGCAATCTGCTTTCTGTTATTATATGGCTCTCGAAGACGACTTATGAAACAAGAAGACACAAGTAGGTTTCAAATATTTGGGCATGGGTGTTTACTAAACATTCATCCTCTATGGTGGAACTACTGAGTAAGCGATAATAAGGTTTCGAAAAGCGTTATAGGTAAAATGGACTAGTTCATCAACTATAATAGTAATTTTCATCGACTGGGGTGACTGAGACTTGTACTAAATATGTTTAATCACTGTCTACTTCAATGTTCAGCGTTGTGCAACATAAGAGCAGGCTGGGAAGCTAGGGGTTATCAAATAATGACATGGGATCAGTTCATGAAGTCGCTATTTGTTGGTTATAGCCACGTAGAGTAATTCGAACTCCTGGTTTATGCCTGTTCAATACTCGTAATGTTTCGCATTTATTAGAAACCTCATCACTTTGTTTCAATCTTAACGCCAGACGACTGACATATGTACTAAGTATACTCAATATCTAACCAATAGTTCAAACTTTGTCGAAAGTTGTGATGTACTTTGATTATATTGCCTTTAAGTTAAGCTATGTCACAATCAATGCAAATACTCGACACCCATCCTCTATCAGATGATATTCTTGTTAACTAACTGCTCTTCGTGCGTTGGTCCTTGGCTTTTAGTCACACTTAGCATCATAATTCCTTTTAAGTATTTATTTCCTTCTTTATGTTGTTGAATCTCTTTCCATTTACCAATGTAAAGTAAGACAACTTGAATTAGTTCAAACTTTATATGTTTCTAAATAGCTTTGATTTTGTCTGACTGTCTTTATCCTAACAATGCAGTTTTACTTAAATATTGTCTGAATAAAATATTCCTTTTATCCTTTTAGTATATCCCTCAGGTTTTCTAGTCCCTTTTTTTAGAGTAGAATAATCGCCATTATTTATATGATTTACGAGTAATGAAGTTAACGGCCAAAAATGGTTTCAATTTCTATGGAGTATATATATGTGAAAGTTTATGCATAGAAGTTCGTTCAGCCCCCAAAATTTCCTTCTTTACTTTTAGTCTTCTTACTCAGTAGCCGTTTTGGGCTAACTCATAGGAAGTTCGTGTATTAGTATAAGTCTCGGACATCGTGCGTCATAACAAAACTGATCCATTTTCAGTTGACTTTTGTTCCCAATACAATTGTCATTATAATTGGTTAATACCGCATATTTTATGACAGATAAATTAAATTCTTAATGAGTTTATGGATTATTATCTTCGTGAAAATAAACCAGTATTTTTCGTCAAAATACTGTACTTTTTAAAATTCTATAGTAAAAATTGAATTTCAGGTCATATTGATCAACCGAAAACTGGCACATTTCCCACATTTAACCTCTTAAATATAAAACTTTCTGGACTAAAACTCTAATGCACATATTTTTTTTAAATGGCTTAAGTTTTAAAAGGAGATTTAATAAAAAGGAAAACATTTTCATTCATTATTGATGAATTAGTGAAAGTTTAGTTTAGAATAAAAAAACGAACACGATTAAACAGATATGTCTGATTTTCTTTTATTCATTTAACTTTCAAACGATAACATACACAAATACACATGTCCACATGTAACTAATTTACACTTTAAAGTTTATTCTTCTCTTTTCTTTTTATTGACAATAAAATGTTTAAGAAAAGTTTTAACATCCTCTTTCTTTTTCTTCTTCTTCTTGTTCTTCTTCTTCTTCGAATTATTATTATTTTCCATTTTGTGTATATTTTAAACAATTTTTCTCAGTCAAAGGCCTTTAATTTGAACACTTTCTATCCTATCAATAATTAAGTGTTCTACATTTTCCCTCTATAAATTCACATATATATGAATATGTATACATGCGACTAAACATGTATCCTTTTCTATTTTGTTATACACTTGAAGATAATAATAAATTATTTTTTGTGAATAAGGCATAATTCATAATGAAAGAGTCTCTTTCTCTTAACTGTTTAGATTATATTATAAATATATTATTCAGATGTTAAAAATGTTTTTTAAAAAAAAACTTCCCAAACACTGAATATTGTTGTAGCATAGATATTTTGTCTGATTAATTAAAATTATAATAAAAGAAATTATAAGTTTTAATAATATAATTTAACTGGATTTGTTGAGAATGAAAATAGATATAGCTATAGCTATAGTTAACATGCATCATACTTCAATTGGTTAACTACCATATGTAAAGTTCAGTAGTAACATTTTGAATTACTCATCTAAACACTACAAATTCAATTGACTAACAGTTTCTTTAAAGTTTCAGAAATATTTTAATAATCAGTTTTAACAGTTATAAAATATTGGTTTAGGTTTCCTCGGTATAAATACGTTATACTATTCATACTAGTTTTTTTTTAGAATGAACGGATTGTGGTTGGCAGTGAAATACAGAATACACGTTTTGTATTATTTAGGAATCACCATTCGGGTGTACCTAAACTACAGTATTGGTTTTCACAGTAAAACACTAGCCTAGTACCTTTCAATATCAATAAAGGCACAAATTGAACCCATATCAATCATCTTTGCACTAATTGCTTATTTGATAGTCTAGATATTATTTACTTACTTACGCCTGTTACTCTCAGTGGAGCATAGGCCACCGACTAGTATTATCTAACCCACTCTTTCCTGGGCCTTCCTTTCTAGTTCTATCCAATTGTTATTCATTCTTCTCATTTCTGTCCCCATTTTTCGGTGTAATGTGTTCTTTGGTCTTCCTCTTTTCCTTCGGCCTTGTGGATTCCAAGTGAGAGCTTTCCTTGTGACGCACTCGGGTGCTTTCCTCAAGGTGTGGATATTATGCTTCCGCTTTTATTACTTTACGTCAATCCGTAAACAGTTACAAATCAAATAAATACCAGGGGTAAGTATATAATGTTTTTGTGTGTAGGAAGTTTCCTGTCTATAAACTAAGCGTTTGAATTCGGCATACACCTGGGCATTTTTCATATACCACTAAATAAAATTTAACCTCATATTTTGTGAGTCAGAATTGGTGGTTTGATCTTCCTGACCAACCATTATTCAAGTCTATATATCTTTTTTACATTTTAGAAAGTGACATCATTCAACATGTATTCAATACTCTCATCATTGTTTCTCGGTCAAAACATGGTTCGAATGGCTTTAAAAACCACTGACTTATGTTACTATTTCCTACGAGAATGTGAAGATATTTGAGATCATGTTTATTTTTAAATTTCAGTCTCAACAATGCTAAGTAAATCGTCAACTTTTCATGTTTCAACGCGACACGTCTATGAGCATGAATTAAAGCACCTTCCATATCACCAAAATCAAAACCATCGATCACAGAAACAGTCAGAGGTTGATGATCCAACTCCCCATTCAAATCAATACATTAATCATAATCAGCGTCAAGTTTTAAATTCGAATATGTTCCGATCGGAAATCATGTTTAATTCTAAAGTAAGTAGATCACTACATATTGATGTTAATACTATTACTAACAATAATGTAAGCAGTATCTCACCTACAAATTCATGTTTTACTATTTCTTCAAATGATAATCATATCGCTTGTGAATTTAACGATATTAGTGATATTGATGAAGAGATCATTGATGATAATGACTCTGACAATGATATTGATGATGATAGTTTCTATAATAAAGATGAAGTCGATGAATTATTCTTTTTCATACCAACTGTATCTTCTAATGAAGTAAAGTATGGGAATCAATTAAAACAGCACCAATCTATTCCATTCACACAAAGCACAAATCATATACATAAATTGTGCGATGATTCACTCAATTTACAAGTCTCACCAAAACTTCCAAGTTTAAAAGAACGTATAACTCGTACACAAAACATCTGGTGTCTACCAAATTTAAGTAGGATAGAATCGGAAAAATTATTGGAGTTTGCTGAAATCGGAGTAAGTATAAATTTATCATTAGTATTTTTCTATCAATAATTAAAATGATAATCTAAAGTTCTTGATTCCTTTCTAAACAATATGGATTTCGGGAAACTATTGAAAATCAATAAATAGTGAATACAGATTAAACACTGATATAGTGTGCTTAAATAATATACATTTTAAAACTTATCAGTTATAAAATATTTACTAAGTCTTTCTTAGGGGGACTGAAAACGATAGATTTCATTTACAAGTACAAATACTGTAAGCTTTAAATTAATTTCAAGTTTAGATAAAATAGTTGTCTAGTATTATTTGCTTAATAATAATAATAAGAAATTTCGAAGTATTTACACTTGGTACAATTAAAATAAGTTTGGAATTATTATCACAATGATTTTTATACCTGCAATTCCCGTATTCAGCGGATTAGTAGGTAGTTAAGTTTATGCAAAACTGACATATAGGAAGTAATATTATAGATTAACTACTGTTACTACCAATATTATCATTACTATTATTATCATTATTATTATGTATATTATAATAGTAATTCATGAATACTTTTTAGTCAGTTAATAAGAAACAATTAGATTTTGATTTATTCAACGCATAGAAACAGATGAAGATAGAATTATCATATTAATATTTGGAAGGAACTGTAAAAATAACTTATCCAATTTCGGGAGACAGTAGGAAGTTTTTCTTGGATTAACTAGTCTTAAAGAGATGGAAATTTTAGCTCTGGATATTTCATTTTGGTCAATTATTTTGGAATCTTTTCTTTATTAGAAATAAAATTTAGGTGAATCATTCCAGTATTGTGTTCTTTGAGTTTCCATATTTTTAAAGGTTCTTTTCTAACAACCATAGTAATAGGATTAGAGTACTCACTTTTATGATAAAAAATATAAGTTTTTGTTACAGCCAATCATAAAAACTGATTCACTCGGAGTTTTAGTTTGATTTGGTGTTAGTTTTTGTTTAGTGACCATAATAGAGATAAGAGGCCTTGTTTGAATGAAAATTTATAGTTCTGTTCTATTGCTGTCAATGATTCGACTGCGCGAAAGATCGCTTTTTCAGATCCATTGAGATAGATTTGGGAGATAATTCCCCCTATACCATAATTCTAAACAGCTGAGGCAATCTCATTAGGTAAGGATGGATCGTATTAAGTAAAATATTGGGAGATTGGAGTTCCTTTATTTTACCGAAAGCTGATTGATAATCTATATACCGATTCCGTCTTGTAATTCCCATCAACTAATAACTCAAAGGAACGCGTTATAGCCTATTCTCTTAATTAATATCCCGAAATATCATTATCATGCTGAAATGATTGACTAATAATTTAGTTTTTAACACGAAGTGATATTTTCACTTAGGTTTATTACAACCTTAGTCACTTATATTGTTTTCTAAGATTTAAAAACAGTCACATTTTTAGGCTGTTCATGTTACAACACATTTGTTTAATAAATTCATTGTCTTTCTTAACATAACATGAATTATGTGTAAACCACTGACCTTATTTACGTGCTGTGTATAAATGTAGATCAACTGGAGAGTATGATGTTTTTACTCATTTACTTATCGATAATGGAGTTATAATCAGGATGTTGTTAAGAGATTCACTTCTGCTAAATACATATTGATAATGTTGGAATTAGTTGACCGACTCGGAGAGATTAAATATTCAGAGGTAGAGCTCCTAACTGCTTTCCTATCACCCTTCTAAAACCTCACTATCTGCTTTTGTGGGGCAAGGTAAACAGGTCGTGATTAGCGCTTGCGTTCAATATTGATACAAGAATATATTCCGCTATGATTTTACATGCGTGAGAGGAAAGCGGTTACGCGTTCTATTATTGGATGAAAATAATTAGTTATTTATGACATAATAATTGCGTTGATCAACTTTCTTTGTGTAACAACTTAAAGAGATAAATAAGAGAGACTGATAATATTCATTTATTATACCGGAATTTCTATTCATAAAATTAAAATAATGAAATTCCAAATAAATAAATGAATTATTGTATCCACTTTTCACCACTAAGGCTAAAATATATCCTTCATTTTACCGGTATAGGAAGGCGGTTTCGTGGAGATCGTAGGATTTTCATGGATTAAATCGCTAAGTGATCTGAGCTAGGTTGCCATTAAGAGCCATTAAGCACTGGGCAGCCGCTTCCTCTTAATATAAAACTTCTCAGAAAAGTGCATAAATAATCCCGCCACTTGAGATTGAACCCTAAACTTTTGGTCTCACACACGGACCCTCAACTTTTGAACTAATTAGCCGACATCTATTGGTATTTATGTCTAACTTCAATTGTTCCACGATATTGGGCGGCCATTTCCTACGGCTATGGTGAATAACGCTCACATCCGACAGAGTTGAACGCCACTGATTGCCACTTCTCACTAGCTTTAGAATGGTGATATATCTACGATCATTTCATGGTTTGAACTGTAAAAATATCTTGAAGTGTTCAAAAAGTGTTTTAAATGTCATGTAACTAATTGGTATCTTAAGAGAATTCCCAAAAAATCTAGAGGTCAATCTATTTGTGTTTGTCCCTTATCAGATTTATCAGGTATTCTGTAAAATATCTTTTCCAAGAGCTTCTAGAACAACAAGATTACCAGTTCACATAAATACTCTTTGATTTCTGTAAACAATACCAATCTTCTACATCTTGCCTCGTCCCGAGTTCGAGTGTCAAAGATTCCAGAAATCTGCAGGTAGATTTTTAGGTCAGTATCTCGAGCACTCAGTCTACTGTACACGCTCACTACTAAAAAATTTGTAGATCGAATGAAACAAATCTCAAGTGTTCTTTGGCTGTCGATGGGTATCTAGCTGAATTCACTCATTATTGTAGACTAATTGTACAAGTAAAGTAGATCCGTATTTTTAGAAACCTTGTTGCAATATAAGAACTTAATGAAATGAGATATAGTTTATTCTTGACATTTACGAGATATACTACTGATATAATGGAATCATGATATTAACTAAAACAAATTTAGATTTCTGTTTGAAAACCCTCATGACATTAAAACCTGCAGATAAAAGAACGGCGAACATTTTTTCGACAAATTAGTGTCAGGTCAAATAAATATGATTAGAAATCAGTGATTGAATAAAATATCGAAGTTTAAGGGAATTAAATTTTTTAACGTACAACATGTTGGTTTCAGGTCGTTAGTACTAAAATTTTATCATCATAAGCAGATGAACAGTGCCTAGCAATGGAATCCGGGACGTGGGTTTCATCCTATTAGGGACTTGTCAGCTGAAGGTTGACGTTTACTCCGAGACTAGGACCCAGTACTGTTTGCTTCAAACGCCATCAGGTTATCCACTGAGATGAAGGTACATACAGCTAATGAGCCCCAAATGGGACGAAATACTCGTCCTGGATTCCACTACTAGCCATCATCCATCTCTGCTTATAATGCTTGTGACTTAAGGTAATATCGAGGCCATCCGAGCAGGATGCACATGTGCCAATAAGAGATTGATCAATTGCGGTCCCAAACATCAATGGGAAGATTCAAAAAACTAATACAAAAATGAATTTTATGGTCGTTTATGATCATTGGAACGATTAGTGTTTAATTTACACTGGAATCATATTGCAGTCCAAACAGAATTGTGAGATTATTAATCAAACCAGATGCAGGTAGCACAGACTGATAAAAATAATAGTGGTCAAGACAATTCAGTAAAAAATATCCTCCACGATTATACCATTCACTCAGTCTTTAGAATCTCGTTTATAGCAATTTAACAAATAAAGTAGTCTGCTGGAGGAAGGAAAGAGGATTTTTAATTTCAAATATCAAGAAGAGAGCTGTATAACGATGAAGACGTTGAAAATTATACGGTTCATTATAAAGATTTGTGCACAGAAAACTGACTTGAAATGGTTAGTATAAGAGTTTTAAAGCCGAGTCACAAGTTAAATGTGATGTGAGATTTAGTAATTTAACGACTGAATTGAATAGTTTGTAAACTTAATTACCATTTTAATAAGTATAGTCTGTCAATCTACGCTCTTACTTATCATAATCAAATGACAATAATGGCGATGGTAAACCTTATTTTCTAAAAGTTTTGTTTATCATTTTTGTCCAATGATCCAAATCAATTGCAAAATTATATGTGCAAATATGTACTTCATGCCTAGTAAAAATAAATACATGAACAATGTTTTATTGTAGACAGGAAGTCTATAATGATATGAAAAATTGATTAAAAATGCAATCGTAAATAATAGTTGTGTTCACTGAAATATTCTGTTAAACTTTGTACACAATTTGAATGGTGTATCAAAACCATAAAAAGCTGTTACAATACTTAACTGATTTAATTAAAGTTTCATCTGATTCAGTTCAACGGAATAAAAATACGGTACTTCTGTAGAGTACGTTACATACAAGGATGTTTATAAGTAGTGTAACTGAATGTGGTGTAAAAGTTGCAACAATTGTGATGACTTTCAGTGCATCGGAAGTATGGAGTTGGCAGAAACACTTAGAGATCAAACGTGGTAGAAAACACTGAAAGATGCAAGTGGACGACCAATGGCTATGTATATGCATAATGTAAATACATTGCAACTTCTCTCAATAAACAGACATTATTCCTGCCTATTACCGTGTTTGATACTTCAACTAATAATCGACAACTTTCATCTATATAGTAGCTAAATGGATGACACTTTAATTTGTGACTAAAACATCAACCTCAATATTATCCTCAATAGGTTCTGTAATTGTGATCAGTCAGTGATTTAACATATGAGTACTTCTTTGGGGACACTACCTTACTAGAATTATTTACACTTTTAAACAATTAGGGCCAGGTGGGGGAGGTCAGACCAAAAACTTATGCATTGTAGAGGCTCTGAGAACTTAGCAGTTCAAGTTTAGATTTTGTGAGTGTGAGCAACACATGCAATCTTTCATTGTTCCAAGAACCTAAAACTTCTTCTGGTATG